AAAAACAACAACCCCCCCCCCCCCCGTGAGGACAAGCCAATGGTTATAGTTCGCGGGGGCGGGCAAAAGCAAGCAGGCAAGCGAGCAAAGCGTAAAAGCCGTTAACGTTCCCAGCCGAGTAAACTGCAGCTGGAGACAGCAAGGTCAAGCGTGAGATAGCGCACATGAGCAGGACAGGGAAGAGCTGAGAACGAAGAGGAGGGCACCCCTCCACATTCCAGATCTATGACAGGGCTACGTGACACCGCCTCTCTCCATGTGTCCCTGGAAGAGCGCCACGCTCCGACAATAGGAACCTGCTCACGGTCCCCGGCCCGAGAGAGGTCCGGCCGTCCTCGGCTAGGGCCAGGGCCTTCTCAGTCATGGCCCCGCCTGGTGGAACACTCCGCTAGAGAATGTCCGTACCCTATGGGATCTGTTATCTCTCCATAGGGCCTGCAAGGCAGAGCTGTCCCGCCAGGCCTTCGGTTGAGGACAGCAACCGTTGGCACCGTCATACCCTCCTACTCCACCCTCCGTGCCCCCTTCGCCCAGGGGACCGGCGGGAACGGAAATTTCCCGTCATCTTAGACAGTGTGATTTATCACCTGAGTAATGTGTTGTTTTTAGCAGTTTTAGTGTTATTTCATTGGGTTATCATTCTGCTTGTTCTGGGGTAAGCCGCCCCGAGCCCCGCTCGCAGGGAAGGGCAGCCTAACAAGTTGAATGTAATAAATAAAATAAAATATTGAAAGTTTAGGCTGGGGCGGGGGCGCAGCACCTGAATTCCATGCGGAAGGTCCAGTCCGAATCATTTCCCGTTAAGAAGAAGAAGAGATTGGATTTATACCCCGCCCTTCACTACCCAAAAGCGGCTTACAAACTCCTTTCCCTTCCCCTCCCCACAACAGACACCCTGAGAGGTAGGCGGGGCTGAGAGAGCTCTTGACAGAAACGGCTCTTTTTCAAGAACGGCTCTTATCAGAACTACGGCTTGCCCAAGGTCATCCAGCCAGGTGCAAGTGGAGGAGTGGGGAATCAAACCCGGTTCTCCCAGATCAGAGTCTCCTAACCCCTACATCAAACTGGATAGGAGACCATCATGGAAGTCCAGGGTTGCTATGCAGAGGCAGACAATGGCAAACCATCTCTGAACATCTCTTGCCTTGGAACCCCTACAGGGTCACCATAACTCAGCTGCAACACAATAACAAAAAAGGGGATTTGGGGGGCAAGTGCCCCCCTTCCCCCCCGGCCCCCCTGGCTATGGTAACACTATGGAGGATCTAGCTTTTGATTGCAAGAGTCAACACAACTATTACCAAAGGTGTATTCTGGCCCTAGGAAAGGTAACGTTTTCCTTGCTTGAAAGCCAGTCAGATCTGACTCTAGGGTTGCGGTGCTCATCTCCGTTTCCAAGCCAAAGAGCCAGCGCTGTCCAAAGACATTTCCATGGCCATGTGGCCGGCATGACTAAACACCAAGGCGCACGGAACGCTGGACTAAATGGACTGTTTGTCTGATCCAGTGGGGCTCTTCTCATGTTCTTAAGATCTCTCCTGGAAATCACGGGAGAGCCGTTGCTGGTCCAAGCAGACAGTACTGGCCTTAACAGACCAAAAGCCTTACTCAGAATGTGTTTACTTTTACCGGAGCATCTTAGCATTTCTAGGCTAGAGTGCGCTGGATCAGAGGTTCCGTTATACACGAGCCAGTTTGGTGTCGTGGTTAAGTGGGCGGACTCTAATCTGGGAGAACGGGGTTTGATTCCCCAACTCCTCCACTTGCAGCTGCTGGATGACCTTGGGCAAGCCGTAGTTCCGACACAGCTGTTCTCGGAAAAGAGCAGTTTCTGTCAGAGCTCTCTCAGCCCCGCCTACCTCACAGGGTATCTGTTGTGGGGAGGGGAAGGGAAAGGGGATTGTAAGCCGCTCTGAGACTCCGAGTGAAGGGCGGGGTATAAATCCAATCTCTTCTCTTCTTCTTCTACATGTGACGTGCAGGGAGGGGCCGTGGCCCAGTGGCACTGGTTGTCGTGCAGAAGGTCCCAAGTTCAGTCCCCCCCGGCATCTCCAGTTAAAAAGGACCAGGCAGTAGGTAACGTGTAAGACCTCCGCCTGAGACCCCGGAGAGCCGTTGCCAGTCTTGAGTAGATATCACTGACCTTTAGGGACTGATGGGTCTGATTCAGTCTCAGGCAGCTTCATGTGACCTTTGCGTAGGACTCTCAAGTGCCCATGCCATCTCGTGGCGTTTGTGTGTCCCATAACACCTCTCTCCCCTCCGTCTCACTCATCTGCGTGTGTCTATTTCTGCTCATTAAGCACAGCGCTTCATGCGTCTCGTTTCAGAGGGTGGCCATCTCGGTCCGCAGGAGAGCAGCTAGATTCGAATCCTGCCGCACCGTAGAGGCCAACAAGATTTTCAGGGTCAATCAAAATCAAAGCTCCCTTCATCAGATACCAAAGAGTTGACTCTCAAAAGTGATACCCAGGAAATCCTGTTGGTCTCTTAACGTGTGGCTGGACTCAACTCTAGCGCTTCGTGCCTCTGGTGACGAAGAGGGCCCCTGGTCCACAAAAACGTATTCCGCGATAAATCTGTTCATCTTTTAAAGCCTCTTCCTTTTGTCATGGTGGACTAACGCTTATCTCATCTGGAATGTATCCCTTATTTAATGATTGTTATTATTTACTTAATACCTCGTCGCGTCTCTCCCCAAAGAGGACCCAAGTTGGCTCCCAACGTCCTCCCCTGTCTCCGTTTTATTCTCGCAATGGCCCTTGCTCCCATCGTTGCTCCCCTGAGGACCTGGGAGTTACTTCTCTGCTGTACGTGGAGGTTACACCAGTTTGGTGTAGTGGTTAAGTGCGCAGACTCTAATCTGGGAGAACCGGGTTCGATTCCCCACGCCTCCACTTGCACCTGGCTGGATGGCCTTGGGCAAGCCGTAGTTCTGATAAGAGCTGTCCTTGAAAAAAGAGCAGTTCTGTCAGAGCTTTCTCAGCCCCACCCACCTCACAGGGTGTCTGTTGTGGGGAGGGGAAGGGAAAGGAGTTTGTAAGCCGCTCTGAGACACCTTTGGGTTGTGAAGGGCGGGGTATAAATCCAATCTCTTCTTCTTCTTCCATTCTCAGTGTTCATGCTAGGGTTGCCGGACTCCAAGTGGAGTCTGGAGATATCCTAGAATTATTGTTGATCTCCAAACGGCATAGATCAGTTCCCCCTGGAGAAAGGGGCTGCTTTGGGGAAGCGGACTTTGGGGGATTACGAAGTCCTTCCTCTCCTCAAATTCACTCCCTCTCTAGGTTCTACCCTCAAACCTCCAGGAATTTCCCAACCCTATAACAGGCCTACACACGCCAAAAGTTACCTTTCCTTTCAAAGAGGCTGCCTAGAAGACTGCCGGAATGGTAATTTCCGGAAGGGGGGAAAGATGTCAAGCTGGAATGGTTGAAAAGGGTCTTTGGAACCTGACCAGTTGTTGTAACTTCTGTTGTTGGGTTTATCATCATTGGGAGTTAAGTGCGCGGACTCTAATCTGGGAGAACCGGGTTTGATTCCCCACTCCTCCACATGCAGCTGCATGCGTGACCTTGGGTTAGTCGCAAGTGCTTTCAGAGCTGTTCTCTCAACGGTAGTTCTCGAGAGAGCTCTCTCAGCACCCACCTACCTCACGGGGTATCTGTTGTGGGGAGGGGAAGAGATTAGAAACGGCTCTGAGACTACTTCAGGTAGTGAAGGACAGGGTAATAAATCCAATCTCCTACTACTACTACTATCTGGAGGCTGCCTCCAGGGTTGTCTGGAAAATGGTGTATAGACCTTTTAAATGAATGAGTCCGCCGTAAGAACAGATCAGAGGAGCCCATCAAATAATCCATGATAAAATCTAGGAAGGCATTATAGTTATGATCTCTGATTCAATACCCACAGACAGCAGCTGCCCTGAAGAAGCTTAGGCCCTTTTCTTTCCGTTTCACTTGGGCTGTGCCAAAGATTTATGGAGCCACAAGCGTTCAGGGGAGGTGGACTAACACCGAATAATGTTATCAAGTTAACCAGCGTACTGATTGCGGTATCAGTTTCATAATTCTAAGCGCAGATCTCCTTGCAGAAATAAAACCCATGGCCTATGCGGGATGCGTGCCCCTAACGTCCCAGCGCAACGGTTTCAAATAAATTATTGTAAAACGTCCTAATGCCCCTTCTGCATCTACCAGAGCGTAGCAGATAGGTGCTGTTCAAGGAAAGGCGATGACTCACTTGATTGTCTGAGTGCAACTGATGTACAAACATCTCCCTGATAGCCAAACTGTGGGGGGTGGGGGGGTGGAGAGCAAATGTGGTATATACAGTATCAACTGGCTGCATCCTCTCCTTTCTGTGTCGTTGTGTGTCTCTTTCCCCTCCGGCTGACGCCACCTGGCTTCCGGGCCCCCTGTCCCGAAACTCCACCGCCTCCCCGCCAGTGGTTGGATCGCGGCTTTCTCCGAGATCAGGATCAATCTGGCCGTGGCAGTCATCATGATGGTGGTGGCCACCTTCTTCACCGTCTGCTCCGTCCTCTCTCTCTTCTTGCTGAAGCGGGTGAGTTTGTGCCTGGGGAGGAACCTGCTCCCCACTCCGCCTGGGGCGGGCTCCAGTTGTTCCCGTACCGGTTTAACGAAGGGAGCCCACGATAGGAACTTTGTTCTCCCTCCCTCCCTCTGTCAGTTTGGTGTAGTGGTTAGGAGCGCGGGCTCTGATCGAGGTTTGATTCCCCACGCCTCCACATGCAGCTGCTGGTGTGACCTTGGGTCAGTCACAAGTTCCTTCAGAGCTGTTCTCTCAAGGGCAGTTCTCAGGAGAGCTCTCTCAGCCCCACCTACCTCACAGGGTGTCTGTCGTGCGGAGGGAGGGAAAGGAGATTGTCAGCCGCTCTGAGACTCCGAGCGAAGGGTGGGGTAGAAATCCAATCTCTTCTGCTTTTTCGTCTTCTGTTATTTACAGTCCGCCTTTCTCACAGAGGCACCAGGCGGATTACACAGAGCGCATCAGTGCAGTCGACAAAACGGGACGTTCAGTAGACCGTGGGTCCCCAACGCGGTGCCCGTGGGCGCTGTGGCACCCGCCGACGCCTTTTTTGGCATGCCAGGTGTTTTTAGGAAATGGGTGGGGCCAGGGAGGGCTTTTATCTGGCGGGGCTGGAGATTTGATTGGCTGTGCAGATTTTTTAAAAAAATGTCGCTTTGGCAGCCGCTGCCGCCACAGCACAAGGATCTGCACTGCGATCCTGAAGGGAAGCCGTGGCAACCCTTGCGTGGCCCTGCTGTGTCAGGATTCCAGATGTGCCCCGCAGGCTCAGAAAGGCTGAGGACCCCTGCAAATAGGCAATGTGCGAGGATTTTAGAAACCTGGAACCAACAGAAAGATCTGATGCACGGCATACGTATTCAGACGACATATGAAACGGTACAGGACTTACACAATAGGATCCTACTTACATTAAGCTATATGCAGCTGTATGGGTGTATCATCAATCATCCAAGTCAGTTTGTGAACCGTTTTGTACACTGCAACCTTATTAAAGGTAAAGGTTCCCTTGCTCGAAAGCCAGTCGAGTCCAACTCTAGGGTTGCGGTGCTCATCTCCGTTTCCAAGCTGAAGAGCCAGCGCTGTCCGAAGACGTTTCCGTGGTCATGTGGCCGGCATAACTAAACACCGAGGCGCACGGAATGCTGTTCCCTTCCCACCGAAGCGTTACTTATTTATCTACTTGCAATTTCTTGCTTTCGAACTGTTAGGTTGGCAGGAGCTGGAACTAGAGACGGGAGCTCACTCCGTCATGCGGCACACTCGGGTCTTGAACTGCTGAACTACCGACCTTCCACAGCCTGCAGTTCAGCATCTTAACCACTTGAGCCACCGCAGCTCAACCTTATTACCTGCGCAGAAAAGCCCCCTTAAATAGTTTGGACCGGCTTGCTGATTCTATTGTTTGTTGCTTTTCCCCCCCCCCCCCCCCCCCCCCCGTCATCTTTGGTACCTGCCGTTCAGTTCGCTCCCTGACAAGTTCCCAATGATGAGCTGGTGGAACTGGAGTCCTTTGAGGAAGTGAGCTAACAAATAACAGGGCTTTTTTAGTGGTGCCATCTGGTCTGTTCCGCTGGTGCCTTCGTCACCAAAGAAACTCTACTTGGATCAAAGGCAGAACACGTTGCCTACAATATTTGTCGATAAGTATTGTGGCTCAGAGGTTAAGATGCAGAACTGCAGACCGGAAGGTCAGTAGTTTGGCAGTTCGAGACCCGAGTGCCGCGTGATGGAGTGAGCTCCCGTCTCTGGCCCCAGCTCCTGCCAACCTAGCAGTTCGAAAGCAAGTAGATAAATACGTACCGCTTCGGTGGGAAGGTAACAGCGTTCCGTGTGCCTCGACGTCTAGTCATGCCGGCCACATGACCACGGAGACGTCTTCGGACAGTGCTGGCTGTTCGGCTTGGAAACGGAGACGAGCACCGCACCCCTAGAGTCGGATTCGACTGGCTTTCGGGCAAGGGAAACCTTTACCTTTATTGTGCTGAACCAATCTGTTCCAAAAGCAAACAAGTAGGGGGTTGCAGTACAGAATGATGAGAATAGATAAGACCACTGCAAATATGCAATCAATACTTAATAATTATTCAGTACGTACAAAACTACAAATCACACATTAACAGTAATATCTTGTTTTATAGATGATGCTGTGATATCATTCTTCTGCCCAGAGGAGAATGCCTCTGGGCAGAAGAATGATATCATGGCATCATATATTCATCTGTTAATGTATGATTTGTAGTTTTGTACGTACTGAATAATTATTAAGTATTGATTGCATATTTGCAGCTTTCGAACCAATCTGTTCCAGCAAGTGTCATCCACTTCTATTTAGTACTTTATAGAGGGCTGATGCCAGACAGTATTTTACTGCTGTTGCTGTTTTTATAGCTTTGAAAAAGATGTCGTAAGCGGCCTTGAGAGTGTACAGCCGAAAGGCAGGATAATAGATATTTTCCATAAGTCTCTCGTCTTAATGAAGGATCCCCAAGATGCATTGTTTACCCTTTCTGTCTTGGATCCTCAGAACCATAAGTGGGGAGCCTGCCTCCTCAGATAAAGCCAGGTAATGTCTGAACAGTGCTAACACGAGATTTCTTGACGTCCTGATGTGTCGCTCTGGTAGACAAGACTGCTACGTAGTTGTGACAGAGCATGCTCGTTTTCTGATGACCAGATTTAATTTTCCTAGACCTTGTTTCGCTAGTTCTTAAGGCCATATGGACCTAGCCACCCTAAGGTATTCAGTTCTTAGAGCCAATATGTTCCTGGCCACCCCAAGATAACTAAGTTCTTAGAGCCTATACGGTCCTAGTGGCCCTAAGATATTCAGTTCTTGGAGTCAATATGGTCCTAGCCAGCCTTATATATTCAGTAAAAAGGTAAAGGTTCCCTTGCTTGAAAGCCAGTCAAATCCGACTCTAGGGTTGCGGTGCTCATCTCCGTTTCAAAGCCGAAGAGTCAGCGCTGTCCGAAGACGTTTCCGTGGTCACGTGGCTGGCATGACTAAACACCGAGGCGCACGGAACGCTGTTACCTTCCCACCAAAGTGGTACCTATTTATCTACTTGCAATTTCTTGCTTTCGAACTGCTAGGTTGGCAAGAGCTGGAACTAGAGATGGGAGCTCACTCCGTCATGCGGCACCCAGGTCTTGAACTGCTGAACTACTGACCTTCCATAGCCTGCAGTTCAGCATCTTAACCACTTGAGCCACCGCAGCTCCTTATATATTCAGTACTTGATGCCAATACAATCGTAGCCACCCTAAGATACTCAGTCCTTAGAGCCAATACAGTCCTAGCTCAACTAAGATACTTAAGTTATTTTCAGCTATCACTTTGCCACAAATGTGGACAAGTTTAAATACCAAGGCTGCTTTTCCAGGAATCCTGATGATTGCTGTTCTGTGAGGGTGTTGACATTCTGGCAGAACCAGTTTCTAAGTTCCCGGAGAGGAATTAAGTAACAGTTGATTTTCTTTATGACAACTCCCTTTTTGCAACGTGGGCACTTCCTTTGCATGACCACGCACCTCTGCACTGTAAACATTAAACAAACAAAGCTTTTTAAAAATTCCCACTGCTCTACAAAGAGATGCGACTTAGCTTCGTCCGTGGCTTGAAATATTTCCAATACAAATTGCTTTCTGCCACCCGGCACAATTTTAATTGATTTATTTATTAGATTTTTTTTTTCTGGTCGTTCTCGCTCACCAGGAGGGGTCTGGCAGCAATTTACAATGCCTAAAACCAACCACATAAAAATAGGTTAAAAAAACAACAACAAAAATCAGATAATGCGTCTAAAATATTAAGACGTATGACTCCGTACCATACCATTAAGCACCTAAAGGTTAAGAAAACATGAACATACAGGCCAGATAATGCTGTTAGTCAATTTAAAAATTAACAAATATCCAAAAATACATGTATTTATTTCACAGTGGCTTAAAAACAAATATTGGCTTTTACGATAGCGTCCGTTATCTTAAGGACGTGGAAAAGTGACAACCAGACATGTTTTGGCCCAGTTGGCCTTCCAGCATGGTGTAGTGGTTAAGAGCGGCAGACAGTTGTAGGGCTTCTGGAGTTCTGACCCTGCTGGTGGACCTCCTGATGGCACCTGGGTTTTGGCTACTGTGTCACACAGAGCATTGGACCAATCATATGTTCTTATGTAAGCCTTGGACCAATCATAGTTCTCTCAGAATCTCTCTCAGTCCCACCTCAGAGGTGACTGTTGTGGGGAGAGGAAGGGAAGGTGGAGCGTAAGAGAAGAGAGAAGAGATTGGATTCATACCCCGCCCTTCACTACCCAAAGGAGTCTCAGAGCGGCTTACAAACTCCTTTCCCTTCCCCTCCCCACCACAGACACCCTGGGAGGTAGGTGGGGCTGAGAGAGCTCTTGACAGAAACTGCTCTTTTTTTCAAGAACAGCTCCGGGCAGAAATACGACTTGCCCAAGGTCATCCAGCCAGGTGCAAGTGGAGGAGTGGGGAATCAAACCCGGTTCTCCCAGATTAGAGTCCGCGCACTTAACCACTACACCAAACTCCTTAGGATAGAGAAAAGCAGGGTATAGAAACCTTCTCTTCTGCGCCACAGATGGCCGACGGAGCGGCAACCCCAGATGGGACACACCGCCAGTGTTCCCTCTAAGCTGAGTTAGTGTGAGCCGGCTCACAGTTTCTTAGCCTCTACCTCATATGTTTTTGTCTCAGCTCGGGAAGGGTGGCTCCGGAGCAAGCGAAATTTATGCAGCAGCTAGATGGCTCGCTTGCAACTTTAATGCCAGTCGCTCACCGTGTAGAATTTTTGCTCACAAGGCTCCGCAGCTCAGAGGGAGCACTGGGCACCGCTGACCCCTGCCCTGCACCAGAGAAGCAACAGTGGTCACTCCCCCATCTGTCCCTTCCGAGGTATCTCCCGTCCATTTTGTCCGAGAAAGGAAGGGTTCACGGCTTCCGCTTGACATCTGTTCCTCTGTCTCTCCCTCGAAGGTCCATTCTCTGTATCGCCGGACCGGAGCCAGTTTCCAGAGAGCCCAGGAGGAGTTCTCCCAAGGCATCCTCACCAACCGGAACTTCCAGAACGCCGCATCCGGGGCCGCTTCTACAGCCGCTCAGAGCGCTTTCCGGGGGAACTAGCCCCCCTTCCCTCCAAAAAGGGGGGGCCTGCGTTGTGTTCCCACTTTTCTCGTCACTCCTGTTCCGGGGTGTACGTCCCCCACGGGTACCAGCCTCGGCTCCAAGATACCGGCAAGAAGAGGTTCCTCGGACCTTCCTCCTGCCCACATCAGTGTCTTTCTCTTGGGAGGGGGCCGCAGCCAGGCAAGGGTCTTCTCTCCCCTCCCCCTTTCGTTTCCCAAATCAAATACATCTCGCTTTTTAAAAAAAACAAAAACAACAAACCCGAAAATCCTGGATACGTTTACCGTTACTTCTCCTTTCCGTCTTCCATCGTGTGGGAGGGAACCGGAGTCGAGAGCTTGCGGCACCCCCCACCCCACCCCGGGCCGTTTTTTAATTTTGTTTTTTTCAGCTTTGGTTGGTAAGTTTTAAATTAATCAGTGACCCTCCACTGCCAGCCGACGAGGGATGTTGGTATGTCTTTTGGAGCGGGCTTGCTTTGCGGCGTAAGAGGGACACGTGAGGTGAGCCGTGCCCTTTCTTTCCAGCTGCCGTTTCCCGACGCGTGTGCTCTCTCCCCAAAGGTTTGCCCTGTAGAACGTGAATCCGCACACTCCGAACCTCCAGGAACGGGGGGATTTTTAACCGTGGAGTTATCCAGTGGCGGTACATCCGTCACCGTAGCCGCCTGTTTGGGATTATGACATTTGGGGGGGGGTTATTTCTGGACTCCGTGGTTTTTTAGGGGAAGCAGTGTTGGACAACCCAGTGGTTTCTAGCCGATGCATTCCCTTGGGATCCAGAGAGCGGGGGAAGCGGCAGAGATCGAGACCGTGGAACCACTCTGGAGGGAAAACGGATGGTTTCCTTTGAGCAATCCAGTTTAGATTGTTTTTTTTTCATGTTTATTTTTTTGCAATAATCCAGCGCTGGTTTTGGTTTGCTAGCCTGATTTCCGCTTTCCAGATGCTCTCTTTTTACGCCCTCCTCAACCCTCTTGGAGCAAGGAATTCTTAGATACAAGGAAGGCACATCAGAAACAGAAAGGATGTTGTTAGGTGTATTGCACGTCCTCAAGGTGGGCTCGCTGAAACCTCCTTTTCTTTCGCTCCTAATGGCTGTGTTCGGGCCCACCTTGAACCTGTTTTGAAACCACCATGTGTTGAGCGCGATTCCATTGAAGCGCATCGACGGTTTTCTCGGTAACAAATGAACGCCTCTGTGGATTCCACACACCCCGGGGGAGTTTGAGAGGCGGGGAGATCTCCCCCACGCCAGTCTCCACAAATCCCTGGAATTAAAGACTTTTTGCTCCCTCTTTCTCAGTGGATGCAGGATGTAAAAAATATTCTCTCCCTCCCCCCACATGTGCACTTTGCAGAAGTGGAGTATGTGGAAAGAAAGGCAAGTCTTATTTCTTGATAACCAGGGTGGAGGAGAAGCAGTAACACCCCTGGATTGAAAGTGGCAGGAAGGCAGGAGAGGGAAGCCGTGGCAGTAAGTTGATGTGGGAGGCAGGGGTGGGGGAGTTCAAGAAGTGCCACGCCACATACGTGGGAGATCTAGGATTCACGCTGCAAACTCGGGCGGCTTCAGGAACGCTAGAAACACTTAGAGAATATGGTAGGGCGTAGCCCGGGAGCACTCCCTTCTGTAGGCTGCGTGAACGAATCAGTTTTAGAGGCAAGAACAAAACTTCGCTATAAATGGTTTGCTTTGTGTGCCTCTTCGGGGGAATCTGGATGGGCAGCAGTGGCTGACACCCTACAATCTGTCATCCCGTTTCTTCGTTAGCACGTCCCTTAAACTGGTCCGAAAGGCGCACGAAAGATCCGCCCGGCCGATAGGCTTGCCGATGGCCCTGAGTCGATTGTTAAGTAAGACGCAACGTTCAGGAGAACATACAGGCTTTGACTTCTGCTCCCCGTTAGAATCTCACGTCCCTCGTCAAACGTCAGCGTCCTCGAACGGTTTCCAAGCCTTGCCCTCTTGAGGTTTGCCCTAGCGCCCTCCCCCCGGTACATCACAGGGCAACATCTTTTTTTTTTGTCCTTTTCGTCTCTTTCGAATGTATGTAATGATGGCAGAACTTGAGATTTTTACAAAGAAATTTCTTCCCTTTCTCGGGTGTGCTCTTCCACCTCTGATTTTTCTCTCTCCCCCTCACCATGTAAAAATGTATATGTCAAACTTTTTTGTGCTTAAATACGAAATAAAGATGACAGACTGTTAGTAAATGCTCGTGGATCTGCTTTTTGAAATAACCCGCCGTGTGGTGAAACCAGGGATCGGTCCCTTGAGACTAGCCCATGAATTGAACAGGGTCAGATGTTTGGGGGTTTTTTTTGTTTTTTTTTGCCCAACCTTTAACTTAGCCTCTGGCCCTAGAAGAGGCAAGGAAGGGCGGTGGTGGGAAGTGCCATCATGTCGGGTTGATTCCCCACTCCTCCACTTGCAGCTGCTGGATGACCTTGGGCAAGCCGTAGTTCTGATAAGAGCTGTCCTTGAAAAAGAGCAGTTTCTGTCAAGAGCTCTCTCAGCCCCCACCTACCTCACAGGGTGTCTGTTGTGGGGAGGGGAAGGGAAAGGAGTTTGTAAGCTGCTCTGAGACTCCGAGTGAAGGGCAGGGTAAATCCAATCTCCTCCTGCTGCTGCTGTCTGCAACTTAGAAGAAGAGAAGAGATCGGATTTATACCTTCGGTGCAGGGAAAAGGGGGTGAAGGATGCAGTCCTCTCTCCACTTGTGGTCCTGATGCGAGCCATGCACTGTGCCGGCAGAAACAGAGAGAACTCACTTTATTTTCTTTATCAGTTGCAATTGATATAGGACATATAGAGGACAGACGGACTCCCATTGGTAGCTGTGTCTGAAGAAGTGAGCCGTGACTCATGAAAGCTCCTGCCCCGCCACAAGTTGCGTTAGTCTTTAAGGTGCTCCTGGGCCCTAACATAGTTTGCACACTGGGCTGACACTTTTGTGGAGCCATCCAGTACAACCCCAAGATAATTTTCCCCTCTCAGTCTCAGCAAGTTCAGACCCCATTACAAGTTGCGTTAGTCTTTAAGGTGCTCCTGGGCCCTAACATAGAGTTTGCAAACTGGGCTGACACTTTTGTGGAGCCATCCAGTACAACCCCAAGATAATTTTCCCCTCTCAGTCTCAGCAAGTTCAGACCCCATTCGCCTCTACTCAAAGTGGGGATTTTGTCCTAATGTGCATCACCTTGCGCTTGCGAACATTGAACTGCACTTGCCACATTGTCAGCCTCCAGCAGGGGATGAGGCTTCCTTCCTTCCTTCCTTCCACCTAACCTACCTAAGCAGTGCAGAGATTCTCAAGAGCAATGTTCCCTCTAAGCTGTGGAGTCTTGTGAGCAAAACTTCTACTTTGTGAGCCACTGGCTTTAAAGTTGTGAGCCAGCGATTTAGCTACTGCATCAATTAGTTTGCTCTGGAGCCCTCCTTCCTGAGCGAAGACAAAAATGTGTGAGCCGGAGGCTAAGAAACTGAGCTAG